CTTGTTATATGGTGCAGAAACATGGCCAATGACAACCAAACTGGAACAACAACTTAAACGAACCAACATGAAAATGCTCCGATGGATGCAACGAATTAGTCTGAAGGACCACATCAAATCTACCGAAATCCTGCGTCGTGCTGGTTTAGAAGATATAAAGGACGAAAGCCGGCAACACCGTCTGCGGTGGTTTGGTCATGTCAAACGAAGTGGAAACAATTCCATAACTTCTCTTGCAGATGTTGAAGTACCTGGCACACGTCCCAAAGGCCGTCCAAAGAAGTCCTGGTCACAAACAATCGAGCAAGACATGAAAGCTCTAAATTTAAATGAAATGGATACAACTGATCGTCTAATTTGGCGCAAAAAGTTGATGGCAATGAAAACAACGTCCTACCTCGGGAAACCGGGTCTCTGGACGCTAAACGAAGATTGATTGATTGATTCTATAAATTCTACCGAATGTTTGGCGTTAATATGTTTGTAGTTCGTTTTTTTAATTTTTCTCACTAAAGATTTTTGGTGAAATTCAAAATAAACGTATTTTCCGAATTCATGCTGCAAATAAGGCCATATTTCGATTCCGAATGAACCATCATCAGTGCTTTCTGCTGTTTATATAGTGAAATATTGACTTTGTCAAAATGAACTTAGATGGAGATTGACTTTGTCAAAGTGAACTTAGATGGAAATTAGGTGTCAGGTTTCTTTATTGGCTGGTCATCTTTTTTGGTCTCCTTTTCTTCATCGATAGCATCATATTCTTCTTTGTCACTATTTACAATGCTAGTTTTTATTACTTCTTTGTTTTTGTTGTTGGTTAAGCGCCGGGTTGGAAGTGAGGTTGTCATTTTTTGTTGTATATTTATTTTTGGTTTATTGATGTCAATTAGGACTGCCTCTGCAATTTTAAGATGCGTGTAGTTACTGTTCTGGTATATTACTTTAGTGTTGCTGTTGAGGATTTCACGGCTAATAGTGATTGAATGTGTTGAGTCCAAATGAGATTTGATTGCACCACTCTGTTTATGCATCGTAAGTAAGCCTTCTAGTCAGTGAGGTAGTAGTAATCCCGATATATGAGTCATGTTGACGTGCACAGCCGTCAAAGGGGCAATTAAATTCATATATTACGTGATTACGTCTTAGCACAGAGTTATCTCTAGGACTACAGTTGTTTTTCAGTATTAGGTGAGACGTCTTTTTATTGTTGTAATATATTGGGAGTTTAACTTTATTATTTGGGTTGGTTGGTGTGACATTTTTATTGATGATATGTTTAAGAATAGCTTCATCTACTTTGTATGCATTTATATTCATGTATTTATTATATCCTGCATACGTCTAATGAGAGTAGGCTCTATTTTGGTTGACTAATGAGATTTATGATAACTAATGTAAATAAAAACTATGGAAGGTGGGTATTAATTAGGGTTTTAAAATTTTTAATGTATTATTATTAACTGTTCTAAAGATAGTCGTTGCATATAATATAGACTGCATAAGTTTTTTGTTTCAATCTTTTACAGCGTTAACATATAAATGCTCATTTTGTGGTAAGATGTTTTCAACTGAAAAATTTCTTAAAGATCATATGAGACATCATGGCAAGTAATTAATTTTTTCACCTTAATTTTATTTCATTTTTGTACTGATTGATGCTAATTAATGTTTCAGCTGCTTTTTTTATTCTTTTCTTTTTTTCTGCTTTTTTCAATTTATGTTTTAAAAAAAGTTTTTTTTTTACAAACCTTTTTTAAAACTTCTTTTGGCTCTTTGTGCGTTATTATTAATATCATTATTTTGACCATGTTCGAGAAATTGTTCTTCCATAGGCGGTTTTTTAAGAATGTTGTTGGATTGATAGTTTAACTTTTTTTTTGTTTCATACATCATATTTCTTTCCAGATTGATTAAATTTGTAGGTTTTGTTCACATTTTTTCAGTCAAGCAAATACTGTTATTTTTAATTATTTTTCTACAACAAATGCATTTTCTATTGTGTGTATCTAAGTTTGTTATTTCAAAGTGCAACTTTTACTTTTCTTATATTTTTTTTTTATTTTTTACTCGTAGTATCAGTGTACAAGTGTCCATATTGTGATATGACTTGCCCCAATCCAAGCTCCCTGCGAACTCATATTCAATACAGACATACTGAAGAGCGGCCATACTCTTGTGAACAATGCCAGTTCAAGTATAATTATTTATGACAATTGCTTTTTTACAATGGCTTATTTTTTAAATAAAATGTTAAATAATTCCACATATAAATAGGGGCAAAGTTTTGGTGGACTTAAAACGTCATATGGAATGTCACACTAAAGCATGGATTGAGTGTCAGGTAATGTAAGCAGGTTTTGTCGGAGTCGGAGTTTTACCCGCGACTCCGACTTCTTGATTGAAAATTTTCTAAAATTTTCGAACTTTAACAGCGGGAAAATATTTCAAACTGCGCCTTTTGACTACCAAAAAAGTTTTTGAAGTTCTGGTTTACAATTTTAATTAAATACCATTACTAGATAATATCTCAAAAAGCATTTAAAATTAGTCGATATAATTGTTTTTCTTATTAAATTATTTTTTATTTATATTATTTATTTTTCGTGTCTTCATAAGAAAACGCTTTTTTGCTGCCTCGCAAAGATGCAATATTCTTGTTACTGCACTAAAACATGAAACATTTCTACATCTAATGAAGTTGTAAAAGTTATTGAATTTAATATAATATCTTAGGATTTATTTTAGTTCAGGCTGTATTGCGATTACAATATTTAAGAAAAATAAAAGAATATTAAATACTTTAGTGGGAATAAAAAAATTGAAATATTGAATGAAAATTTTAGTTTACGGGAAAACATTAAAAGCATCACGAATGAATAAGAGTAGAAACGATTGAAGGTATAAAACAACGTTACCATTTGCCAAAAATTGAATTTTAAGATGCTAAAATTTGCAGTTTTAGAGTTAAGATACTATTATTAAAATTATTAAATTAAAAAATTAAAGTTATAAAAATTTTGAAAAAGAATGTAAAAAGCTTTTAATCGAACTGCCGTTATTTACATATAACTGCTTATCAAGAAAATAGTATTTGCCGAGTTTTTTGAGATTTACTAATTATTTTTGACAAAAATCCATATGAGAAGTTTCTAAGGTCCTAATATTTTTGCATGTAAAAGTTTTATTCCAAGGTTATCGGTAAAAAAATTGATACAAGTGGCAACGGAAAGGAATGTTAATGTAAAGTTAACTCTGCTATTTTGAATCTATTTAAAAAGAACGTTTTTCGTCAATGGACAGTATCGGAAGGAACTGTTCGTACGTTCCGCCTTATGTTCTCATCCCGAATAGGGAACATTTTTTTGTCTGTGCTTTTTTGTCGTTCGTTCGTTCGTTCGTATGTTTGTTTTTTGTTTGTTTACTTTACTAATCTTTTAATGTTTTAATTCTGGTTGTTTATGATCGACATATTTTAATGGTTCTACAATTTATATAATTTTTAATTCTTTATGACATGATAAATAAAGTTTATCAAATTCAAAATCAATTTTAGCTTATCAAATTCAAAATGAGTTCTTGTTTTCAATTTTCTAATCATTGACAACAGCATTCCATGTATGGTCGTACAAATAACTTTTATTTAGTACGGCGAAGTTTTTTCTTGAATTTCGTAAACACTTTTGGTTTTTTAAGGAACCTGGATGTGATTACAGAACGAAATTTGTTTGGGAACTGAACCTTCATAACAAGAACAAACATCAGGTTTGTTGTTTACAATATTATTTTAACATAATTATGTATTTACGTTTAAAACTTCAATTTTTATTATTTAAGTTTCAAAAATAGTTCATGTGTAAAATTCCATCGAATTAGATAATAACAAAATTGCTTATTTCGATACCCTAGTCACATAAATATAACCAAACACCTCCCAAATAACTCAATATCCGAATTTGGATAATTGATTTTTTCAGTGATTAAACAACATTACACATTGATAAGATAAATCAAGTTGCGTTGTCAACCATTCTATCAAACTACATATCTTCAAGCCATAAATGTCTCGATGTAATAACAGCCTCTAGATACGAAAGTGCTAATACACGCACATCATAACTTGAGCGTAGTAGACCCAGGCATTAAGCTATCGCTTCGTTAAATGAATGACCTTTGTTTAACGTTATTTTATAAGGCTGTTCAGATTTGATCATCGCTCATTTACTGAAAACTTTTTTATCGTTAATTGTTAATTTTTCTCTTTTTAAATAATATCACGTTGTATTTATTTAATATTTTGTTTGTAAATATATACTAAATGTTACAGCTTACGGATGTAAGTGGATTCAAATCGTTTTACGCCTATATTAAAAAATCCTGATTTGTGGGCTAGATGGGTACGTGCTAATTCTCGTAAAAATTATGTTCCAAACAAACAGTCCAAAATTTGTTCACCCGACTTTGACAGATTTCGTAGCATGTTTTAGTGATTGGTATGAAGGAAAATTGAACAGAACTGTGAGCATTGCCAGTACTGTTATGGATAGACAAAGAAAAAATTAAAAGAAGATGCAGTACCATCCAAATTTCAGAATGCACCTTCATATTTGTCTAGTCCAACGCAACAACCTCGATCGACAACAAAATCTTTATCATATTAGTCAATATTTAATGTCCTCGCTTGTCTTAATGAACTGAAACTTTTTCAGAGACAAATTTTGAACTACTGGAAAAGGTTACAAAACTTCAACTAAAAGCTTGTTTAAATTTTTTTAACTAGAGTGATGATGAATATCTTCAATTAAAATTAATTGGTCTTAGCAAACATGAGAGAAATTATTCTTCACAATTATTACTGAAATATGAGCTCTTCAAGCTGCTCAGCATACACAAAGTTATTTGAATGTTAAGCATTGTGTTTGCCATCAATAACTTTGATAAAAGTTACTAGAAGAGTTAATGCAATAGACCATCATATTCAACAACCTATCTTTCTTTTATTTTATTCAGTCCATAACCTAAAAATATTTACAACAACTTCTTGACCAGAAAATTATTTACTCTTTCTAAATGTCACAGCCATTTTTTAAACATATCCCAATGCACAGCAAACTACTTTGCACACAGAAGAATTATACAGGTTAGAATTACATTTTTCTTTAAAAAAAGCACACAAATTAAATAAAAAATTATTTAATCTCTTAAACAGAAAAAGACGGATGACGAGTCATTCTAACATTGTAATTCTAATTCTAATGAAGATCATTTTAACATTGAAATTCTAATTCTAATGAAGATCATTTTAACATTGTAGTTTATTTGCAAAACATCAACAGAGAAGGTTTGTTGAAGCCAGCTGAATATGTATTTTCAGTTTTTCTAGGCTGCTGAAAAACTTTTCAAACTGAAAAATTTAGAAACAGCTATAAAACTTCTCAAAACCTCCAACTATCATTGATGTATTCGGTTGTGATTGCGCAGCAATATGGTTAATGTGTTGTTAATAGATGACTTTAATACTTATTTATATTTGAATTGGTTCGAACAAAGAAACCATATCAATAAATAAAGAATATAGTAAAATTAACAGTCACTAAAAGTAATAAAGGAAAATCACAGGAACAGAGGCCTGGGTTTCACAAATTTTCTATATAGACTGCAACAAGTACTGGGTTATGCAAATTATTTATATAAATTCAAAACAAGTGCTGAAGATGATTGAAAAATCTAAATAGGTCCTATACACTAGAGAATAAATTGGAAAACTGTATATTATTCTAACTTGAATAAAATAATAAATGACGACAAGAATTTGGTTTGAAATATTGAGAAAATGTATAAAAAAACTATTCAACGCTATAAATA